TCAACTATGCCAGAACATAAAGTCTAATACAACAGGAATGAATCAAATATATTTGGAATATGTTAGATTCCAATTTTGATGATTGAGGTACAGGACATGTTCTTGTCATAAGTCCAAACTCTTGAAGGTGTGGCCTAGTTTGATGAGAAAAACTTTTTTGTGTTTTTAAAAAGCAACATTTAAGTTACTTTTTTGATCTTTCTGCTGCCACACAAAGTGCCAAACTTGTATAAAGCACTCAGTAAACGTAATCGTAGTTTTGCCTGGGTGAAAGGGTTTAAATTGGCCGTATCAACAGCAAGGCACACACACTATCTTGTGAAATGGATAATTTTCTTATCAGTTTAGCTCCAGGTTTCATAAGTATGTTGCACATTAGCTTTTTCCTACCACTGTTGCTATAAGCCATCAGTAGATAACGGTGATTATTTGTGAATACAAAAAAAGAAGGGTTCTTCTGAATGGCCTACAAATCACATTGACTATAGAACTGTTAAACTGATTCCTTGCCTTATTGCAGATATACTGGCGATATGCTGCAGCACAAAACTGATGTACAGAAAATATGTACGTAATAAGTTTATTTTTTAAATATTTTTAAAATAGACACTGTGTGTTCATAGATTCCTTCTCCAGGTCAAAATCTGGTGCTTACCTAACACATAATGCAAATGGAGAAGCAGCGGCTCGATCCAAGTGCTCCCTTAGGCCTGTAAATGGACTTTACTGTGTAGAATGAAATTAGTTCACCTTTACGTTTTCAAATACCTGAGGAATTATTGGCCTTTACATCTATTGTTAGGTTGTAGTAAAAATATCAGCTTGCTGTGGTGAAGGTGCTACCTGGAGAAGTGCTGCTGCAGTGTCACCATCTGCTGCCCACCCTGCTGAGACTTGTCCCGCTCCCTTCTCTCCGCGCCCAGATGTTGTTTGCTCTCCAGCTGGGGATTATTATTATGGATTAGTCTCTGCAGCGTAGCTGTAGGGGAGAGGAGTAAACAGTTAGATTGTCGTTAATCTTGCATATCATAATACCACTGAAGATTTCACACCTACAGTGCATCTGTTCAATCCTGTAACCCCCCTCTAGAAAGGCACACTCTGTAAGCAAGTGTACTTGTTTGGAAACAAGCAGGACCAGCGTGCAGCCTCTCCTCACGTCTCCTCACCCCACCTCACATACACTGGTTTTGAAACAGTGTCCCGATCTGTGCTATCCCCACAGCTGACAGCTTGAGTGAGACAAACTCCCTTCTCATGACATTTAAACAGTGGCCTGAGGTAAATTGTCACTTTGGAACCAAATAGTTAACAAAGAGTGAAGTAAAGCGCTCACACATGTCTGGTAGCGAACGCTGAGGTGTGGTTAATATTACAATAACTACTTTACCTTGTGCCTGGTTCTTTGAGTGTTATTTTCCACATATAGCTATTACCTGTTCATTATATTGTATGTAGAATGTTCTGATTAACCCAACAATAGTACAGTAATAGCTTTTAATAAATGACCTGTTAAATCTGTGCTTTGTATCAGCTTAATGGGAATGTTCATTAGGGGGAACTAGTTTTTTCTTTAGTATCAGAGATATGAAGTGTCCGGTAGAACTGTCCGTCAGTTTTTCAGTTTGCTGTGGTTCCAGCCGTTTCACAACCAGTTTGGCTTCTTGTCACTCACTTTATCCATCACACACAATTACTTCGACTCCACCCTGCTGAGCTGCAGTAAGAAGCTGCTGAATTACATGAAGCCTTGCTTGATACAAAATGCAGATTTTTGCAATTACTGAGATTTTTGTCTGTATGAATTTTGCTCACATGCTGTATTCGAATCACAGCTGAGTCAGAACAATGTGCATGAACTGATAAGACTTATAATAAACCTACATCAGTTTCGACTGCTGCCCCCCCATTGCTCTCACTAGACTGGTCTCAGACGTCAGAGCAGGTGAACAGCAGGTATCACAAATGACATTAGCAGGGGCTGACTTCTAAAATTGAGAGAGCCACACCAATAAAGACCTTTTTTATATAGACAGCAGACTTTTGCAGCAGGAAAAGCTCAGTTCCATTAATCTACGCCAGTGAGCAAATGTGCGCTATACCAGGGCCCTGGAACTAGCTCACCTAAATGGAATGTCGTCATTGATAATGTTATCGTGATGTTATCATGTGCTTTTGCTGCCATGACGTGCCAAAATATCTGCTGGGACAAAGGTCTGTTGTTCCAGTAAGCAATGACAGTGTGACAGTGTGACAGTCAGCCAGCATGAGCAACACCATAGAAATGAAGCAGTAATCAGGCCGTTATTAATTTAATTATTCACACTGGATTTGTCAGGTTCCAGTATCCTGGTAGATGAGAAACTAAATGAAACTAAACTTGTCATTGTGTGATAAAGGGCTTTCCAGAAGCACGGGACCAAAAGGGAAGAAATATTCTAGCACTGAAAAATAGGCACAAACTAAAGTGCCACGTTGTACTAATACAACACAGGATGTTATCTTCTCTTTTCATTGTTGAGGTCAGAGGAGGTTTTCAGAACTTGCAATCATGCTTGGTTAAAGTGTATACATGTCCCACTACTAAGTTAAACCAGATCAAGTGTTCAACTCTGCCCACAAAGTCACACCTACTCCTGTTCCCACTGAACGTTAATTATGTGTTGATGAAGTGCTCATTTTTCAGTGGAGTACCACAGAAGTCAACACATACAAACACACACATATGCAGGTTTCCACAGTTGCCCTTATTGGGACTTTGCTTTGACTTCTATTCAATGTGTACAGCCTAAACAAAACCCTTTCCCTAGTCTTAGCAGGACATATGGACTGAGCTTTGGTCCCTTCAAGGTTTGCTGGTCCTGACAAGGTCAGTGTTTATGCTGGAAAATCATAAATAGGTAAGAAAATTGACTACACACACACACACACACCAACTACAACAACATTTCAACTTGCTTTGTACTAAATGGTCAATACAAAAGTCATTCAATTAAGTCACATGATGTTTTGTTTTTTGACCGTCACTCCTGATCTGAGGACTGGTTCAAACATACGTCAGTGTCGATAAGTGTTTGCTGCCACAAACTGATAAGAAGAGAATAGTAATTCTCTCAGAGTGATGGACAAAGTGCTGATAACCCTGAACCATCCTTCCAACCAGGGACAATTATTAATCATTTTTAAAATTCTATTAAAGATAAAAAATGTATTGCTACCTATTATGTTATTTTGTAGAATGAATTAAATCTGCTCTTCCTCATTGTCTCTGTCCTTCAGCCCAGTCGTGCATGTACACACACAGTGAATAATAGCAGGTTGACACACAGCGGGGGAAAAAAGGTTCTCTGTGCGATAGAGACAAAGACAGGGACAAACCCATTAGAGCAAACAAATAGCATTGGTAGACCAAAATGAGCTGATAGAGTTAGATTGGTCTCTGTAAATGTTTCCCAGACCTTTCGGGTGTTGCATTTTTGACAGTAAAACAAATGGACCTGGTGGATGTAAAATGTGAATCAGCACTGCCCTCTAGAGGTGTGAGCAGATCACTACCACTTTGAAGCACTTGCATGTAGGATCGCCATACACTTCATCAGAAATCAAAAAATGAAAGTCTGTTTTTTAACTGGTAAATTAGCCATGCTGGTCTCAAGTAGAAAGAGGAAGAATGTGTGATGAATCTAAGAACATCAGTAAGCAGCCTGTCAAAATACTACTAATGTAGCATATCTTCACAAATACCCATGTACTGTTTTCACATCCTGGATATATCAAAATACTTTCAAAAGACTTGTGTGTCTTTCTTTGCATTAATGGGAGACGTGCAACTAATGGCACATGGCAGCACTTATTCTTTAGGCCTGATTGAGGAAACTGATTTCAGACCCCTCAGTTAAACATCCAACACAGACTGGCTTGCATAGTGTGTTTTCCTCTGTACTGACAACCAATCCTTCTTTTTGTGTATTATTTGCGTTAACTGTTGGTGGTAAGTGGTACCCCTGGCTTCATGTCCCCAGCCAATAAGACTCACAATGTAGTAATGAAGTAATTCTTCATGCTGGTCCCGGACCCAGATTAATTGAGGGTGGGGTGTTTGGGAAGGGTTAGAGTCAGGGTAAACAAAAGAGCCACTGTGCACTGTCAAACGTGGAGGATGATCTGAGCAGCAGCCCTAATAGGAGAAGATGATTTAGATAAAATTATTGTTTTGTTTCACCCCATCAGATTTTTGGAAAATGATGAAATCCAATATCATCAATATAATGAATGTTTACTAAGGTCCAGTGGAAACAACATCTCCTGCTTTAATCACTGCAGACTCCCTCCATTACTTAAGTTTACAGTCAAACCTGCATTAGAGTGATCAAAGTGGAAGAGATGTACCACCAATGTGTTTTTTCTATTCTAAAAATATTTCATGATACATTTTACAATTTTTCTTGCCAAGAAAAGACATTTGTCCACCAGGCCCATGAAATAATAATAATAATAAATGACAAATTGCTCCTGTTTTGTTGCAGGCTAGCATTTCTTTTCTTGAGTGCATTTGAAATATTTGCTGGAGCAGCGTTTGTTTGATTCACAGGATCATTTAGAATGTGTCCAACATTCTGCTTATAAAGCTCTTGACCAGGTCCACCAAAAGGTCACGTGGCACAGATTGTAATTACACTGCACTGGCTCTCCAATAAATTCAGAATCCAATTCAAAGTCCTTGTGCTCACCTACAGAGCTCCGTATGGTCGGGCTGCTGGCTACACTGGACATCTTCTGTTTGCAGCAGGTCTCCACAGTCTCCTGGTCACTGACTGTGGCTCGAGGCTGCGGCTCCTAAACTTTACGAAAATCTCACTTTAAGGATTTAAGATCTGTGGACACTTCGAGAAAGCATCTCAAGATTTACTTGTTTAGGTTGGGCTTCCTGTAAACTTTAGTGTGTTCTGTTTTATAATTATTCTCTATTTATTTGTGCTATATAAACTGTGCTCTTATTCAGTTTAGATATACTTTCACTACAAGAGTAACCTGAACTATTGTTCATGTTCTAAAAAAATAACCTTATTAATGGTGTTTCTGTAGCAGCGTCCTTGTCCATCAGACTTACTGACACTGACACTTGAATTGCACAGAACCATTAACGATGCTTTAGATAACACTTGTGCTTTTCTAATATGACAAGTCAAAATGTCTGCTGTGACAGAAGGGCCTTTTCTCAGAGTCACTCCACTGGACCGTTTTCCTAATTCTTGTCTTTCTATTGTGCCAATAAGAGTCATCTGGTTCTCATCTCTCTGGTGAATAAATCATGCGCAACTATTTTTGATGTAGTTTACTTCAAATGTATAAATGCCTATAGGATGAATACATTTAGAGCTGCTCACACTGTTGAAATATTCAGATATGATGGTTACATTTGGGGCAAGTTCAACATATCCAGGATATCGTTTTCATTATCTGCCTTCACTGAAACCAGATAATGAAAACGATATCCTGGTATCTGGCTGATACCTGTACTGCAAAGCTGGTTATCAACTGTCTCAGTTTTCTTGACTTCAGACTTCATTCATTGTTCTACATACGTTTTGGTTTCTGTTTCTTTTTCCAGGCATAATCTGCAAGGGTAATTTAATGGCTCAATCAACAACTGTTAGGAGGGGGCTGTGCTGAAATACTTTAAATATAATTGTTATGAGACATGGTTTTACTTTCGTCTCACCTGTGCTGTTTTTTTGTGTGTTCATATATTTATATAAAGTTGAATAAATATATATATAATCATGTAACTAGAATAGAAAGGAAACAGACAAAGTAAACCTAAGATATCTTCAGGTTTACTTTGTGTATTTCCTTTCTGTAAATATTCTCAGGAGTCTTTTTGCACTTCTGTCTGATGATGAAGAATCTATCATGAATATTTGATGCAGTTAAAAAAAAGCAGAGAGAAGAAAATGTGCTCTGTCATATTCATTCATA